TTCGCAACTAATCTCTTCTTGTAGTGTTCTACTTCCCCTAATGGTTTGTATTTGATCTTATAGACCTATTAGGAATCTATGGCTTTCTTCATAGAAGGCAATTTTGTTAGTGTCCAAGTGTTGTTGTTTTCAATGGTTGTGATCTCTTTTTGCATGGATCCTCTCTATTATGGGTGATTGACTGCTTGAGATAAATTCTTTGGCTCATATTGCCAAGAGATGGCCATCAAGAAAGCCTTATATAAAGTTTTTTGTAAAATGTAAAATGAAAAATGTAATGTACTAGTAGAGGTTGTCGGAGTGACATTGGGGAGAAAGTGGTCTATGGATGGCATAAAATTTACTTCATATTCGTTGTAGCAACGAGGCTTTCTACGGACTCATTTTGACCCTTTTTATCCATTCCAGAGCTTTTGGTGTTAGGGAGAAGCAAATTTTACGCTTGTATTCAAGATGCTTTCTGTTTCGGTAACCACTTCGATTGGGATATTGATGGATTTTTTGGTTACCAACATTGGATCCAAGAAGGTCTACATCAATGGGCTATAATGGTTCAACATTATTCCCATCAGGCTGTCGATCAATATTAACGTGTTCAATGGATGCATCATTAGCTCGTGTATCAACAATTGTATCTTTACTTGGTTTGTTTGTTTCATTGAAGGGAAAACTAGTTTGACATCCCTTGAGACTATGATTTTCTTTTCACAAAAAATCAGAAACCTGATGCCCCTTTTGCCCATATGCATACCCAATAGAGACTTAATGCCTCCCCATTTCTTCAAACTTGTTTTTGTAGCTTTATTGTCCTTAATGTAAGCTAAAACATCCAAATACATTCATGTGATCATAATGAGGATTATGACAGAGTAGTATTTCGTATGGTGCTTTGTTGTTGATTGATCTTAATGGAAGGCGATTTACAATGTATGTTGTTGTCAATAAACATGCTCCCTAAAACTTTATTGGCAAGTTTTCTTGGAACCTTAATGCTCTTGTGATCTCGAGTAAATTTATATGCTTTATTTCAACCACCATGTTTTATTGTGGGGTTTGCACACATGGTTTCAAGGATAATCCTAATTTCTTCATAGAACTATTCATATAATTTGAAGTGAATTCTTCACCGTTATCAGTTCTGATTCTCTTAACTTCCTTACTGAATTGCATATTAACTATGCTATAGAAGGACACCAAAAAAGTGTTAGCATATGATTTACTTTTGATCGAATAAACCCAAATATATCGACTAAAATCATTCACTATTGTCAAAAAATATTAGGCTCCTGACAAAGAAGGAACACATATCCACCCATATATCAAAATGGAATAAATCAAACCAAGTTATGGAATTTATAAAACTATCAGCAAATGAAAGACGAGTTTTTTAACCTGTGTAATACATGACTAACAATATTCAATACTAACTAAATTTTGGTTGTGAGCTTCTTCTTTATTGCGTTAATTCTTTTTTATTGGATTATTATATATTAATAAATATTATTTTTAACATATAATACTTATCTATTAGCAAGTGTTACTTTTTTTGGATTATTAAATTCATTTAATTAATTTTTTTAATTTTTTTATTTCGTTAATTCTTTTTATTGAATTATTATATATTATTAAATATTATTTTTAATATATTATACTTATATATTAATAAATATTACTTTTATTATTATTATTATTTTAATTGATATTTTAAATTTCTTCTTTATTGTATTAATTCTTTTGTATTGGATTATTATATATTAATAAATATTATTTTAGCATATAATATTTATCTATTAGTAAGTTTTACTTTATTGGATTATTAATTTCATTTAACTATTTTTTTTAATTTTTTTATTGCATTAGTTCTTTTTATTGGACTATTAATTTAAATTTATTATTTTTATTTATAATAAATAATATTTATTTAATTGTTTTTATTTTATTTTAATTTCTTTCTTTATTGTTTTAAATAAAAATACCAAACACTCCGAGTCAGCTCCTCCATTTGTTGTATTTTACCACCTTGCGTCGTCGTATCATCTCGCTGGAAATCATCGATCATCGACTACAGTCGGCCATTCTCGATGAAAACTACACCAGTTGACTACCCACACAATGTAAAATAAACCCCATGAAACATACTTGATACCACCATCAACGACAACAATGTTAGATCGAGGGTTTTCAAACCACCATAGCCACTATAAGTGGTGACAAAGTTGTAGAACTCATTATTCGGTACTTGTTCGGCCGACCGCTGAGTAGCGAAAACTCAGATTTGGTAATTTATTTATAAATATTTTTAGGGAAATTATATATGTCAAATCATAAGTTTATTGAAATAAATAATAAATTTTGATATATGTGAATACACAAAAACTAAAATACACATGATGATCTCACTTCGTGAATAATTATTGAACTTATATATTTATATATATAGTAACAGGGTTAGAGATGACCCGATAGTGGTTTGTTGTGACTGAGTAATGGTGCTGATGTTGTCCGAATATGTTATCTTTCAAATATTTAAAATAAATTAGAGAATGTGGGGTGGGTATGATTTTTTGGTATTTTTATTTGAAACAATAAAGAAAGAAATTAAAAAAAAAACAATTAAAAAATATTATTTATTATAAATAAAAATAATAATTTAAATTAATAATCCAATAAAAAGAGCTAATGCAATAAAAAAATTAAATAAAATTAATAATCCAATAAAATAACACTTACTAACATATAAATATTATATGCTAAAAATAATATTTGTTTAATATATAATAATCCAATAAAAAAGAATTAATGCAATAAAGAAGAAATTAAAAAAAAATCAATTAAAAAAATTAATAATAAAAAATGTAATATATATATATATATATATATATATATATATATATATATATATATATATATATATATATATATATATATATATAAAAAATAATATATATAATAATCCAATCAAAACAAATAACGAAATAATTTTTTTTTATAAAAATTAATTAAATAAATTTAATAATCCAATAAAGTAATACTTACTAATAGATAAATATAATATTATATGTTAAAAAAATATTTATTAATATGTAATAATCCAACAAAAAAGAATTAATGCAATAAAGAAGAAACTCAAAAAAAAATATTAAAAAAATTAATAATAATAAAACTAATATTTTATTAAGATATAAATATAATATATTAAAAATAATATGTATTAATATATAATAATCCAATAAAAAATAATACAATAAGTAAAAAGTTAAAAAGAAAAAGTAATTCAATAAAATGAAAAAGAAAAATTGTACAATTGGTGTTTGTAGTTTGGTAAAAAGATAAAACTGTAGAAATAGTCCCAAGGATAAATCTGTAATTTTCCAAAAGTTAACAGCCATGCTGTTAAACTTAACGAAGTAGAGACCAAAACCATAACAAAACCATCAATTAGGGACCTTTTTTGCTAATAATTTTTTTTGAACCTTACCCACAAAAATTGACAAACCAATGGGACCATTTTTGCAATTTTGTCTTAAAAAAAGTTTTAAGAAAGTTCAAGCAAAATAAATTTGTGAATTTATGATGAATTCATAACAAAATTTTAAAATAAGACCATTTTATAATATAAAATAAGTTATAAACAAAAAATGTAAAATTTAAAAAAAGAACCAACATATTTAACCAGAAATGACACATTATGAAAAGTTTGTTTCCAATAATCAGTGATAATCCAAATAATAATCCATAATCATGAAAATATTTTAAAAAGAAAATCAAGACAAACTTTGCATTGGCACTGCATGGATAAAGATAGGTCAAATTTTGCTATATGATGACAATTTAGAGACTTTAAGGGGTTGTTTGTTTCGTTTGATTCCGAAGGAATTGAAAAGAATTGGAAACTAAAATCCAATATAAAACGTGTTTGGCTAATAGAAGGAATGGAATATGATTTCCATAATTACTTTTTAATTCTGTGTATGAAAGATTTCTCATTTATTCCCTCTCTATAAGGAATCCACATTATGTTGGTTTTTTTTACACAATTATCCTCCCATATATATGCGGTTCTAGTAAAACAAAATAAACTATGTGATTTTTCATATATTTTCTATGATTACCTTCTTCTATTGATTATATTTTTCTCCAATCGGTATTTGTCAAAAAAAAAAAAAAACCATCTATCGATCATATCTTTTCTACAATTACTGCCGTATTTCATCTCTGGCTCATCATTTTTCTACTGCTTTGGTGTATCTATCATCTTCGTTTACAGGTAAACATCTCATGTTCAATTTTTCTGCAATTAACTGTGTTCAACCATTTTTTTTATATATTTGTAATATGCGATTCATCTTTGTCTGATAGAAAATAGCATAATTTTTTAACATTTGTGCTGCTTACTACATCTCTAATTTCTTTATGTGAAGTATGAACAATTTTCTTTACACGCTATATATGTATGTTTATTGTCGTCGTATTATAAAATTTATTTTCTAATTCCTTTGTAAAAATCAGCAAACTAAACAGAAAACAGATTTCATTTCTTGTCCTCCAAACGCATTTCAGTTTCTAGTACATTCAGATTCCAATTCCTTCAAATTCCAATTCTTTTGACAGATTCCATTCTTTCAAAAAAATATTCTGCGAAACAAACGCCACCTAAGTTTTAATCTAGTTCATTTTTATGTTCAATGACAAAAAGGTGACAAAGTCAAAACCAACACTTTCATAGCTAAATTTATCAATAATCCAAAAGTTATTCAAGTCCATCATTACTTTGCTTCTTAAACAGAACCAATCACAATTGGTTCCAAACTTTAGGAACCGAAATCAATCTTATCCGGGTTCTTATTTGGAACTGGAGTAGTTCCAGTTTCAAAAACGGATACCCAGGCCTGATACTCATCCCTAATAGTATCTTTTGAATTGGTGGGGAAAAAAAAAGAGGTAAGAGATAGTCAATTCATCAAAGTTAAACAAACAAGAAGTTCTGGATGATGCTTAGTAAATAACGTCTGAACTTGTATTTTCTCGATTAAATCACGACTTTGTAATTAATTTGGAGTCTCCGAAAACAGAAGAGCAAGTAGGATATATAGCATACATGTACAAAGATGACATGACATGAGAGGGAAAAGGAGTTAAAACATAATTATAATTTATAAATAACCTCAAACTAATAACATGGCATCAATTGCCCCCTTATTAACATTTCATAAACATGATTCTAATTCTGTTTACCAGAGATCTCAGTATCACTGTATATGAAAAGATCATCAACTGTAGACTGTAGTACTCTTCTACATTTCTCCTGGAAGCATCGTATCCTCAGGTAGATCACATACTGCAATTCCCTGAAATTTTTACAAAAATACAACAAAATAATTGTTATGATTTTACATTTTTTACAAATTAAAAATCTTAAGTATTTCCATACTTACCTCTCCTGTTAAGTGTGCTACACATTTCTTCTCCGCTTGCAGCTCATCTTCCGACTAATAAAAATAATTTTTTTTCAAAAAATAAATTTTTTAGCATTAAATGTTATAATAAATTGTAAATACAAAGATTTCGAGTACCTTTTTAATTCTCTTACGAAGGTAGTCATCAAATATGACATCTTTGACAAGCTCGTAATCACCATCCCCCTACCATTAAAATAATATTTATAGAAAAACAAAAAGGATTCCCATTTGTATGATTTAATATAAATAAATATATCTAAATTAATTTACTATAATTTAACCATTTGTACATACCTTGGACCTACAGGGCATGCTAAAAACAATATCTTCTGCTATTCCATAAGGATTTCCATTTGTATAAACCTGCATTTTACAATTGTAAAAAATTAGCATAGTAACTATTTTAATTTAAAAAATAAAAAATAATTTTTTTTTTTTTTTTTTTGATGAAACTTACTCCAGTTGAAAACCAATCACCTTCGGGTGTGGGTGTTACAAGAGACCTTATTGCATCCACAATAGAAACAGCAGTTGATGCAGCTGAAGATCTTCCCCATTTTTTAATTAAAACACCACCTCTCTAAAAAAAACATTTTCAAATATTCACTACTAAAAAGTATTAAAAAAAAACATATATATAAATAAATAAAGAAAAGTTAATCTACTCTTACAGTTTGAACCATTTTGGTAAAGTCCTCTTCTAGCCATTTCCTATCTGTAATAACCTCTGGCACAGGAATCCCGTGTATTTTAGCATTTAAAAAATCAGGAACCTAAAAAAAACAAATTACATTCAGCAAATAAAACACAACACTAAAAAATAAAATAAAAAACTAAAATTAAAATTCGTTTGGTTACTTGAGTAGTCGAGTGGTTTCCCCAAATGGTGACATTAGAGACTTTGTCATAAAAAACTCCAGCTTTGAGAGCCAACTGCATAAAAGAATAAAGAAAATTAAAAAGTTGTGTATATTTTTTAAAACTTGGTTAAAGTTACTTTTTTTAAGGGTGTGTTTAATACCTGGCATTTTGCTCTATTCTCATCTAGTCTAGTTAAAGCATGAAAATTCTTTGCAGGTATATTTGGAGCATTTTTCATACAAATCAAAGCACTGCAAATGACATACAATAAGATTATTATTATTATTTCACATAATATTCATCGTAAAAAAATATGTAAAAGCCGAGTTAAAATTCCATACTTGGTATTGCAAGGGTTTCCTACAACCATGACTTTGACATTACGTGAAGCAACAGCATTGAGAGCTTTTCCCTATCATAAATTCCAATTAAATTAGTATATGATTTTCAAGAAATTAAATTTGAGTGAAGTGGAAAAGATTTAAAAGAACCTGTTCAGCATAGATTTGGCCATTAATGTCTAACAAATCGGCTCTTTCCATTCCAGGGCCTCTAGGTTTAGCTCCAATCAAAAGAGCCCATTCTGCATCTTCAAATACCTCATATGGATCTATGCCAATGCTTACTTCTCTCAATAATGGATACAAAGAGTCCTCAAGTTCCATTGCCACTCCTGTGTTATTACTTATTAGTTATTAGTTATTACCATTTCATCATGAAGTTAATTTTGGACATAACTATAACACTAAATAAGAGTATTATTCCTAGTCATTACCTTCAAGAGCTCCAAATGATCGTTCAGATCCCAAAAGTTTGAGGGCAATAGGTTGATCTGGGCCAAAAACCTCACCTGATGCTAGCTGTGATTTTAATGCAACATATGTAAAGATCTATCTAAGAGGTTCTAGATTTTTATATACCAAAAACGGGAAACAATTTGTTACCTTGAAGAGTAGATGATTGGATATCATCCCAGCAGCACCTGAGACTGCAACATTAATCATTTTCTTCCATGATTTTGTTTGATCTTCCTGAAAATGTGCATCCGCAAAGAACATAACGCATCAGAACTTGTGCAATAACAGATTAGGCCTTTCGGACAGAGGGAGTAGAGAATTTAATCAAAAAGTAAGCATACGCAATGTTTAATTGTCTGTTTATCCAGATGTGTATAACTGTATTTATTCATCAACACAATTATGGAAGTTCAGATTTAGCAAGATGTAAAAATTCAGATATTAAGACTTTTTCCGGAAATGAAATTATCACTATAATCCTCATCTATTACTAGGCAATAACAAACAATCATCTAATACTTGCAAAGAGTAACTGAGGAAAATCAAATGTACGTCAACTTTTGAAATAAGCAGGAGATGAAATTGATTTAAGGACCGAGGGTTTATGAAAATAGCTACAATGAAATAAATAGCAAGGAACGGAAGTCGAAAACTTACAGCCTTCAGATCACTTAGATCATAAGTGAGGCAGAATACACCGAAACAATCAGGCTTCTGTTTCGAATCAATACCAACCGGAGCTTGAATTTTGCTTTAAAATTAACCACAAACACAGATTATCAACAAAAAACACCTAAAAATCATACTAGATGTGACAGTAGAAAGAAGCTTACTCGGAGGTAACTGAACAACGGATAGCAGTAGTCGGAGTTCGAGGGAGATTCCGATAACTCAGACGGCGGTGATAGGAGAGACGAGTGGACGATGAGACATAAGTGAGGAAGCGCGAATTACTGAAGTCAGTCGTTGTGTAAGCATGGCCTAGTTCTGCGACCGCCATGGAAGCAAAGTGAGGAAGAAACTTTTGGAGGGAGAAACAAAGGGAAGAGATGAAGGGGAGAGGTTTAACTTCAAACGGATTAACGTGGATTTTTTGGGAATATAGATATAAGGTCTATACACATGACACTTGTCACCTTTGTTCAATCCACTAAAATTATTGGGGTTTACATTTTTTTTTTTAATCAATAGAAATTGGTATTATTTCGGTAAAATGATTCTGGAAATCTTTTTAGCTTGTTTTGTTTTTAAATATATTATATGAAAATTTACTTGTTTGTTGTAATGGAAATAAACTATAACTTTAAGTGACTTAAAATCAAGCATTGAAACCCAATTTAAGGTGAATTATCTTTCATCTAGTTTATGATTTTTTTCATTCTATAGCTTATTAGTGTGACACACAAAAGGATTTTTGCCATTTATTTAGTATAAAGAGAAATAATAATAATAATAATAATAATAATAATAATAATAATAATAATAATAATAATAATAATAATAATAATAATAAGGGATAATGACTTAGGAGGGTACTAAGGTTTCCAACTTGTCCGTATTAGATCACTAAGATTTTTTTTTTGCGTATTAGACCAATATGGTTGTTATTACTGTTTAGAAATAGTCATTTTTACCCGTTTTAACGGGTAAAAAGGACTATTTCTAAACAGTAATAACAACCATATTGGTTTAATACGCACAAAAAAAACCTTAGTGACCTAATACAGACAAACCGGAAACCTTATTACCCTCCTAAGTCATTAACCCTAATTATTTAGAAAACATGCTTACTAATAAATGTGAATGATTTGTTTGACTGAAAATAGTTGCTTCTATTTAAACTTATCTCATAACTCTTTCAGAACTTCTAAGTCCAGAAACTCATATGATTGATGATCTTCATTACATAAATATGCAACATTTTATCAATAACTTCTTTTTTGTCATTTAAATGTTTACATGAAAACATCCATATGTACAAAAACAAAATCTCACTTTGATACCTCCCATCAATGTCTACATTTGATAACGAATGAAAATGTAAAACCAACGGGGACTTGTATAGGATGTCTATTATCAATTATTTTATAAAAAGCAAAACCACAACATGAACTAAGAAACTGAAGTTGCAAAATGAATAAAAAAATCAGCACATAAACAACTACATACATATTATATACAACACATAAACGGAAGTTTATAAAGCATGAAACTTAATGACAGGAAAAGTAAAAAACTTAAAGGAGACTTTATAGAAAGAAAGATCACCCTTACTTGCCATAAATGGTTGAAGACATCAACAAGAAGATCAATCTGACCATATAATCCACATGTTGTCTGATCATGACTTTAGTAGATGAACTACTGAAACGTAAGAATTGCAATTGAACTTTATTAGCATTTGAAAAGGGAATTAGGGTTCCAGAGAAGACGACGAAGGGTTAAAAAATATTTTGGACCATTTCTCGATTTGTGTGTGTCATCCTTGCGTAGGGGCCATGCTAATCTTCTATGTATCGTTCCAATTTTATCGGATGTCCCTAAAGGGACAACTATAGATGAAGAGCTTCGCCATATAGAGGAGTAACATGTTATATGAGACGACGCGAGTTCTAAACGAAGTAGTTTACTGTTGATGGTCATATATTCTCAATGTATTTAAAATTAGGGTTAATGACTTAGGAGGGTAATAAGGTTTCCAGTTTGTCCGTATTAGGTCACTAAGGTTTTTTTGTGCGTATTAGACCAATATGGTTGTTATTACCGTTTAGAAATAGTCCTTTTTAACCGTTAAAACCGGTAAAATGACTATTTCTAAACGGTAATAACAACCATATTGGTCTAATACGCACAAAAAAAACCTTAGTGACCTAATATGGACAAACTGAAAACCTTATTACCCTCCCAATTCATTATCCCTGATAATAATAATAAGTCTATGAGGGCCTCTTTTTTTTTTTTTTTTTTTTTTTTTTTTTTTTTTTTTTTTTTTGTCTCGGGTTCCAACTATTTTTGGATCGATAGGCTTCTTAAAAGTACTTTTTTCATTATATTTCTACTTAACAATCATAGTAATATTTTAAAACACCTATTTATTAATTTAACGACTCAAACCGGAAAGCAATCCCCAAATGTAACGATACAAGTTCATAATTTGTTTTATTCAATTACTATTATTATTTTAATAATGTAATTTATTTTATTTTATTTAAAATTTTATAACATTATAATATACATTCAAATTTGCCACCTCTATTATTTTATAAAATTGTTCATAAGTCAAATATTATAATTTTTATTTACATAATAAGTAGTTTTGTGGAAATATTTAAGAATTTAATATTATATAAAAAAAGTTGGTACATTTAAATAAAGAGCAAGTTACTGAAATTGTCCCTATGGTTTGGTCAAAATTGCATGTTTGGTCCCTAATTTTTTTTTGCACTCGGATCGTCCTTATGGTTTAATTTTGTTGCATTTTTCGTCTCTTACATACATAAAGTTATGGATCAAACGTGCAATTTTGACCAAATCATAGGAATGAAAAACGCAATAAAATCAAACCATAGGGACGATCCAAGTACAAAAAGAAAATTAGGGAGTAAACATATAATTTTTATCAAACCATAAGAACAATTTCAATAATTTACTCTTAAATAAATGGTATAGTATTTATTGAAGATAATTACCAAAAAGTCAATACTATTTGTGGTGAGAGATAAGAGCTATAATGTAGCAATTTCATGCACCTTTCTTAGTTCCCCTCTCTAGTCATTTTCTATTCATTAGCGTTTCTTCTTGGACTTAACTTCTAAAGAATCATAAGAAACACAAATAATACAATGTGACATACATGCTAGTTATCATGAGAATGATATTTTTGGAGAGTATTGAAATAATCAACATAAAATTGCAAATTTGGTCCCTATGGTTAGTCAAAAATGACCATTTCGGTCCAAAAAGTTTTATATTATCATCATTGGTCCACAAAATGTTTTTTTATATTGGTTTGGACGCTCCAAATTTGAAATGACTTAAAATAACTATTTTGACATTATTATTATTTATATTCTATTTCTTTTAATTATGTTAAGTATTTTTTTAACTGAAAAAAATAAAAATAAATTCAACCCCACCCCACCTACTCCTCTCTCTTTAACAAATTATTGAATTCTTCCCAATGTGACTTTATCATCGGTTGGATGTCGAAGTTGTCGATGTTGGAGCCGCCGCCGCCGCCTGAGCAAAGGTTTCCAAACACCCCCCCCCCCCCTATCTCTCTCTCTCTCACACACACACACCACATTCACAAACGAATAAAGATCACCGGAGAAGAAGAAGGAGAATGAAAGAGGAGAAAATTTAGAACCAATATTAGGAGCAAATCGTCACGAATGTGATCTGTTGTACGTATAAAGGCGGCAAAGTATATACTTAAAACTTTTTTTCAAAATAAACCAAACTTCCCCTAATTCATATGTGTCCTGAGTAGCAACTACCTAGAAGAATATCTGATTCTAAAACTCTAGGTTCTTGTACACCATATTGGGTCCAATCAAAATAGTTTCTTCTTCAATCATCAGGATAATAAACTTAGTATGAACTGTTGAAATGTAATTTTGCTATTATACACCATATTGGGTCCAAGGCTGTTTTTACAAGATTGGGTTTGTTTTGAAAGGTCATCTCAAGACAATTTTCATAAGGTTTGATGGTATATTTATTTTTTAAGTGTATTTGGACAAATTTTCAATTAAGTTGTTATTTTTTACCTTTAAGTCCTTTTTGTCTCAAGTATCTATTAACTTTTCACAAAGTGGCTAGATAAATTTATTTCCATGTTTTTCATTACTTATCTACCTTTAATAATGAGTACTAAGTTTATTCATGGTTACCATGAGGCCTAAGTGACCACCATAGGCACTATAAGCAACGAAAGATAAATCAGGGAAGTTGTTACCTATGTTTGAATGGAAATGTTTAAGAGAATATATCTTGATTCATGTTTGACATTCCAATCACTATTAGATATCCCCTTATGGTTCATGTGAAGATAATGTGAGATCCTCCATCCATACGATGTCAAGGAGATGTGATTTAATATTGGATGTTACAAAGATTAAATAAAAAAAATGTCTAAGTTCCTCCATCCATATAATGCCAATATAGTATCCATCCATATAATGCCAATATAGTTAGTACCATTATAAAATGTTGATAAATAGTTGAGACAAAACAATCTCAAAGGTAAAAAAAAAAAAATAACAACTTACTTGCAAAAGTATTACATTATACTGTTAAAAATAAACATATCATAGACCTAATGAAAACTCAATCTTGTGCAATAGTTTTGGGACAGAGGTAAACATAGGTGCTTCATCATCATAATAACATAATTTCATTTTAATATTTCTTATTAAGTTTATATTTCTGATGCTTAAAATGGAAGTCATTTCAGAAGACTTAATGTGGTTTACAACAAGAAGAAGCGGAAAAATAACATAGAGTTTTAAAGTCATTTATTATTTTAGTTATCGATGCTTAGGACAAATGTGGGTTATGGATATAGAGTTACCTCTTGGTAACCAGCTTCATTAATGCTAATGAAATATCAAGTAATATGTTTAACTTTAGTTTATTTAGGGAAAAAAAGATCTAAATCGGAAAAGAAAAAAAATACATGTATGGTTTTTTGTGGAATAAACCGAATTTCTATGTTATAACAATGAATAGATAAAAATGAGTCTTTTTAAAATAAAATAAGTCTAAAACAGAATAAAGTCAAGATATTGGATATTTTAAACAATAAACGAACTTTAGGCCAAAATTTGAAATTTAGTTTTCTTGTGCTTATATCAAAGAAAAAGTTTCAGCTTTCTGTTCTTGGGTAAGAGACAAAAAGCATGTAGACTTTAAGCAGGTAATGAGCTGACCCACACAAAGGTTAACAGGCCCAATCCACCTCATTTTTTGTACTATACAAGTATACATTGTATACAAGGCCCATAGTTGACTTCATATTTATGATTTATGAATTTATGGGTGAAAAGAAACAAAAAACAAAAAACTCCAAAAT